TCAAGGGATTGGGATATCCATACCAGGCTTCAATATTCCTGTCTTAAAACTGCTGGCTTGCCTTCTTGGAATTGTGTTTTGGGTCATTGTCCCACTGAAACATGCTTTCACCCTCCACCATTTCTTACTTTTCAAACCTTTCCACCACTCCGCCATCCAAAATATCACAGTACTGGCATGGATTCATGATCCCCTAAACCCCTGTAAGCATTCCTAGTCCATTCCACCCCATACAAGACCAATACCATAAGTTCTTCCTCCTCCATGCTTGACTGTCAGGGTGGTGGTTCTGTCAGAGGGTGGTTACCATGAAAATTGGACAGTGGATGACTGGAAAAGGATCTTGTGGTCAGGTGAGACTATAATGAACAGAATTGGTTCAGACAGAAGGAGCTACACTTGGGAAAAATAAGGGAGAACCACCCTCTGACAGAACCACCACCCTGACAGTCAAGCATGGAGGAGGAAGAACTTATGGTATTGGTCTTGTATGGGGTGGAATGGACTAGGAATGCTTACAGGGGTTTAGGGGATCATGAATCCATGCCAGTACTGTGATATTTTGGATGGCGGAGTGGTGGAAAGGTTTGAAAAGTAAGAAATGGTGGAGGGTGAAAGCATGTTTCAGTGGGACAATGACCCAAAACACAATTCCAAGAAGGCAAGCCAGCAGTTTTAAGACAGGAATATTGAAGCCTGGTATGGATAGCCCAATCCCTTGAAATATTAGCCCCATTGGACACCTCTGGGTGGATCTGAAGAAGGTTCTTAACCAGTCAAGGGGATACCTGAGTTGTGGGAGAGGGTGGTGGAGGAGTGGAATAAAAATGCACCAGAATGATGGCAAAAGGTTATAGAAAGGATGACTAAAAGGATTCAAGGAGTTACCAAGGCAAAAAGGGGTGAAAAAAAGGAGTAATTGGGCAGATAGTGGATTTAAAATGTGGGTCAAAAAACCATCCCGATGATTGATTGATTTGATTTGATCATAAAATGCTTATATCATGGCCAATCTCTTTGATCCAAATTGGGCATGGTAGCCAGGAAGCAGGGCTTTCAGACATACAGCCACACCATAACCAGATTCCTAAATGCTGAGGTGCTATAGAGTGAATACTAGAAATGGTGCAAACATCGGGACGGTTTTTTGACCCACTGTAGCTCCATGATGCCACTAAACTCATGTCAAACAATCATGCTGCTGGTTATACTGACTGAGGTTAGTAGCGTGTTAGGCTAGAAAACAAGTAGTACTTCAGAGGTTAGAAGAACTCTGTATTAACTATACTACTGACCTAGAAAACAAGTAGTCTACATAAGACAGTTAGTTAAAGGTAAAAGACAGTATAGTAAAAGAGGAACTTACACTTCAGAGGTTAGAAGAACTCTGAAGTGAAAGAGATGAAACAGACACCCTTATATACCCCAAGGGATGGTCTGTGCGCACTGGGAATAAGTCCACAAGTGCCGACAATAAACAGTAGAGGGATAAAGGCCATTGGCCAAAGAGATATCACATGCTTACTGCGCATTACTAAGGACATCACTAATCAGCTGAGTAAGGTGAGAAAGAAATGTAATAAAGATAACATAAAAAGTCCGATACTCCGAAATCTAATCTAATCTAATCTACAGCTGAAGCGAACCTTAGATGCCTGAAGCATCTCCAGACATGTCCTGTGTCAACATCCCTCCATGGTGAAGGCATCGATCATTAGATGGAAATGAGTTGAATGAGCACACTGTTTGTTCACAATTGAATGAACATGTCACCAGCCAGAGATCCAACTTCTCTAACTCTTTGTGAGCTTTGCATACGAGTTGTAGATTCACTTATGCTAGTTCTACACACTTCTTGCGTCACTCTTGAGGTTGAGAATGTGCTCATGTGGCATGGTGGGAAAGTGAAACTGGTGTACAAGGTCTCCAGATTCCAGCTCCTTCATTCCAGCACTAGTCCAAATCCAGTTACCATGAGATCAAAAGATGATCTAGGCAGAGACTTTGTAAGGCCATCTGCTAGCATCTCTCCAGTGGGAGTTCGCACCAAGTCTATCTGGTGTGATTCTACATACTCCCTAATGGCATGGTACTTTATTGGTATGTGCTTTGATCGCCTTCCAGTGACAGGGTTTAATGCAAGATCTACTGCACCCTTATTGTCACAATGCAGTTGTATGGGTGAACTAACTTCATATCCCAATTCCTGCATGAATGTCCTATACCACACAGCCTGATTTGAAGCCTCTGCTAGGCTCATATACTTGGCTTCTGTGGTGGACTGTGCTACTGTCTTTTGTTTCCTGGAGCACCAACTAATGGCTCCATTTGCAAGGAAAAACACATAGCCAGAGGTGGAGTGGCAGTCCTCTTGATCTCCCCATGAGGAATCCACAAAGCCATGAAGGCCAACTTCACCATTCCCTCCAGAATAGCGCAACTTGTAGTCTTTTGTAGCATTTAGATAGGCTAAGACATACTTTGCTAGTTGCATGTGCTGCTGGGAAGGGTTGGAAGCAAATTGGCTAAGGCATGCAACAGCGAAACTAATGTCAGGTCTGCTTCCAATCTGCACCCAAAGCAGAGACCCCATTAACTGCTGATACCTCTTAATATCAAAGGTAGATGCCTGGTCTTCAAACTTGACCAAATGAACATCCATGCCAGAGGGTAGAGGAGTATATACTGGGTTGGAATCCCCCATTCCAAACCTCTCAACTATGGAGGATACATAGGCTGTCTGGTCAATATCCAGTGTCTTGTTAGGACAATCCCTGGTGATGTTAACTCCAAGGTAGGACTGGATTTCGCCGAGATCGGACATCTCATATCAGTTAGATAGAGCATCCTTCAGCCATTGAATCTTCTTAGTGGAGGACCCAAGTATAGTGATGTCATCAACATATAAAATGACGAAAAGTGAACCATCCCCCTCTTGGTGATGATACACATATACTCCTGCATCAGAGTATGTCCAAGTAAAGCTCAGTTCTTTGAGAACTGCATGGAATTGCAAGTTCCATGCTCGGGAAGCTTGTTTGAGGCCATACAGAGCCTTCTGTAGCCTACAAACTTTGGACTCTTGTCCAGCAATGACGAAACCAACAGGTTGCTCCATATAAATCTCCTCATCCAGATCGCCATGTAGGAATGCTGATTTAACATCCATTTGGTGGATTTCCCAATCCTCAAGTGTGGCCAACACTAACAATAGTCTAAGAGACTCAAATCTGGCGACTGGGGAGAAAGTTTGTCGAAGTCCACCCCCTCTACTTGGGTGAACCCTTTTGCTACAAGCCTAGCATGAAATCATCCATCTGCTTTTAATTTAAAGACCCACTTGGACTTTACAGCCTTTCTACCTTCTGGAAGGTCTTCAAGGCGCCACACTTTAAGTTTTTCTAAGGCATCAATTTCATATTGACATGCCTCAAGCCAGTCACTGGCATTATCAGACTCCATTGCTTCTTTAAATGTGAGAGGATCCCTATAAGGCGATCCTGCAGCATTGAGTAGATCCATCTGACCAAGTCTGGAAGAACCTTGCACAAACTCTGCATTATCCTCATTGTAGAATTGAGGGTTCAGACGACGATTGCGATTGGGACATGCAGTATCCAAGTCTAAATCTTCTTGGATTGCCCTATCTCATCATTCAGAGCGGGGACTTGTCCTCTGAAAATTAGGTTGAGGAATTTTGCCTGCAATCCTTTCTGATTTTCTGATTGCATGGGTTCTTTTGGGAGGGGAGGATGGTTCCATAACTTGTGATGGAGGGGTCTGATATATAGTCTGAGGTTGTGTGGTGTCTACATTACGTGTGGGTGTGGTAGGCTGTGGTGGTAATTGAGGAGGTATGATGTCCTCCTGTTCCTCTTCCAGGTCTTCCTCATCTTGAGGAGCCTCAGGAACATGCGTAGCAGTTGCTGGTGGTGGCTGGACTTGGCCACTAGGTAAAGTAAATGAGCCACCTTGACTAGGTTGCTCCATGGATTTATCTGCTCTGTTGTCCTTTTCAGAGCGGGATGGGAAGGATCTCTCATCAAATGTAACATCTCATGAAGAGATGAGAGACCAGGTATGACTATCCCAAAGTGTATAGCCCTTAGAGGTGGGCTTGTACCTGACAAAGACGGCTTCCCTTGCTTTGGGATCTAATTTACACCACTTGCCCTCTGGAACATGATAATAGGCTTTGCAACCAAAGACCTTGAAATACGAGACATCTGGTTTGTTCCCAACCAGAAGCTCAAGCGGAGTTTTCCACTTATTGGAATGGATGGGAGTTCTGTTATATATAGGGCATAGCACGAGTCTGGGTAACTCACGAGTTTTTTGAGTAGAGCCGTGGGAAAACTCACGGGTATTGATACTCGCGGATCCGGGTGATCTGTGGGAAAATACTCATGCGGATCCGGGTATTGATTTTGGCACCCCAGGTACCCACACAGGTACTTGCGGAATACTCATGGGAATATTATTATATAAAATTATTTTTTTACTAGGCTCATCAACCTAGAACAGAAATGGCTGAAACATGGATTGAACCTAAGACCTCTGGGAACAAGCTCAGTCCAGTGCTCTAACCACTAAGCCACCCAGCCTCACTAGTAAAGACACACAATATATTATATATAGGGTTATGCAGAATTGATTTTATCACTTGTATCTAATTAATTGTGAACACATTTTTGATCTTATCACTTAGATGTATATCCTAAGTATTTAATTAATTGTGAATGCATTTTTGATCTTATCACTTGTGTTATCTATGTGTAATCACAATTATGTCAGACTGCTATTTTGAAACATCTGTACCAGTATCTTTGTTTTAGATAATACAAGTGATAAGATCAAAAATGCATTCATAATTAATTAGATACTTAGGACATACATCTAAGTGATAAGATCAAAAATGTGTTCACAATTAATTAGATACAAGTGATAAAATCAATTTTTCATAACCCTATATATAATATATTGTGTGTCTTTACTAGTGAGGCTGGGTGGCTCAGTGGTTGGAGTGTGTGTGTGTGTGTGTAGACACAGGTTGTCTGGAGGTTTTGGGTTCAATCCCCAATGTGGCCATTATGTTTCCAGATTCAGGAGCCCAGATCTGTGTGAGAATTTTCTCATGGATCCCTTGGATCTGAAAGTTGGGTATTCCCATGGCTTTACTCACAGGGACCTGTGCTATGCCATATATGGAAAAGACTGGTTGCAACCAGTCTAAACTGGTTTTCATTGGTCTTTCAATATTCTGTAATAGCTTGCAACCAGCAACCAGTAAGTCACAGAATCTGGGCAACTGCAACCAATGGTCCAGTTGCATTTGGTTGGGTCTGGTCCAGTTTTGGTTGCTTTTTGGTTTGGGCAACTGGACCTTTAAACACTAAATGTAAACCAAGATACTGGTACCCAACTCTCCCCCACTGCTGACATCCCCAAAGTGGTAATATTGTCACACAATTGTGATTTGTAATAATATTTATTATAAAAAGGAAGTTATTGTTGAATATTTATTTTAAAAAGGAAGTTATTGTTGAATATTTATTTTAAAAAGGAGAGTTATCAATGAAATACCTTTTTTTGGACTTTATAACACATGTCAAGGCTTTGCCTAAGTGCATGGAATGAAATATCATTACAAATCAGTTAGAATAAGATCAGATAAGGATTAGATAAGAACTTTGGCATTCTCACATGTTCTTGCTAGCCTCAAGAATGAGCCACCCTCTTGTTCCAGCACTTGGAGCACACAGTGGTCCCAGAATTGGACCTGGTGCTTCTTGTTTTTCCTATCTTGCTTTTGAGAGTCAAGTCTTGTGCAGTAAGTGTAAAGGTACAAAAATTAGGGTTTTGTTTTTGAAATCAATTTTATTTGCCTTGCCTAAATCACACAGCTAACTACCAGTACATAATAACTACTGTTGTGAACATGAGAGAACCACCATGTGCAAAACCTCTTGGTAGAGGGAAACAAGAGAGACAGTGTGTAACAGAGAAGGAGTGGAGAGGGGAACAGAGCCCATGTGTTGGAGAAGAAAAGCAAACTTACCCATACTACCCAATGTCACCAACTCAGACTCTTAATCCAGCTTGCAAGGTCATCTTGCTAAAGGAAGCCTTGTGAAGGCCCACATGTCCTGGATAAAGGTGAACAAATCCTCAATGTAAAGTTTGCAAGTGAAGAGTATGTGCCATGGAAGTGGGTCAAGTTCCAGAGCCCAGTCAAGCAGGAATTGGAGATCCTGTTGACAGTCAGAGTGGAGGGCTAGTAGAGGAGTGCATGAGGGAAGGTGAGGGGGGTGAGGTCATTGCATGAGCAGAGCTGGTCTTTCATTAGGTTTGAAAATGTTGTCTACATGTCACATGACTTTGATTTGTAATGACTTTTTGTTGATCAACAATAACTTTCCTTTTTAAAATAAATATTATTACAAATCACAGTCATGTGACAAGATTACCACTTTGAGGATGTCAGCAGTGGGGGAGAGTTGGGTACAGGTATCTTGGTTTACATTACATCACATGTCAAACCACTATCCCAGAATCTCTGTACCACTATCTTGGTTCAACAGAAATTTGCTGTTGTTTACTTTACATCACATGATTTGTCAAACTGCTGGGTGAATTGCATTCACTGCCAGGTGGGTACAGGTTTCTGGTGGGTTTGAAACCATATACCCAGACCCTTACCAGCAAAACCCTTGCCAATCTCCATGCACAACCCTACACAGAAACACATGATTGTAGCAGGTAAGAGTGAATTCATTGCCATAACCAACATATCAACAATCATTTCTCAACATGTGATATAAAGAACGCAGCCTGAGGTTAGATAATCCAAACTACCTAGAATGGTAGTTATAATTCAGTTGTGTTGGTCAGAACTGATAATATTAGTCTTTACCTAGAATGGTAGTTATAACTAGTACGCGTTAGCTACATAGGTAAAGATAAGATAACAAAATACTCACTTCAGTTGTGTTGGTCAGAACTGAAGTGAACTGTACAGTAAAAGCGTCCTTTAAATACTGTAAACGAGTGTGCTTATAGTAACCAAGACAATAAAGGATTGTGTCTAATCAAGTAAGGTATCAAAGTATTCACAGGAAGGTGAAACACAGTCCGCGTGCTACTGCACAACACACAACTCGCTTGTTAGTACCACACACTTAGCGATTGATCCGACCTGGCCATATTGATCCATTTCCGACATCCCCCGTGATTGAGACAATCCTGGATTAGATAAGCCCTAGTCCAGTGACGAAGTCTTGGAGTTGCGTATGCGCGTGTGGTTTTGTGAATCCATCAGCTAGCATTTCTCCAGTGGGTGTCCTGATTAGATCGATGTGTCCCTGTTCGACGTATTCGCGAATGGCGTGGAATTTGATAGCAATATGTTTGGATCTTCGCCCGGTCACGGGGTTGAGAGCCAAGTCCACTGCCCCTTTGTTATTGCCATGTAAGGGAATCGGATCTGTGACATCGTAGCCGAGTTCCGAGAGGAAGCTCCGGTACCAAGTGGCTTGATTTGCCGCTTCGGCAAGTGCCATGTACTCTGCGTGAGTGGTGCTTTGGGCGACAGTCTTCTGCTTACGCGAGGTCCAAGAGATGGATGAGTCAGCGAGTAAGAAAACGTAGCCCGAGGTGGAATGATGATCGTCGGCGTGGTCCCCAAGACTGGAGTCCGAGTAGCCGACAAGTCCCTCTCCGCGCGCTCCATCGTAACGAAGCCTAAGGTTGGCTGTACTCCTTAGATAAGCCAGCACATATTTGGCAAGTCGTAGGTGTTGCGGCGAAGGATTTGCTGCATACTGCGCAAGACGCGCTACAGCGAAAGAAATGTCAGGGCGAGTCCCAATTTGCACATACAGAAGGCTCCCAATAATTTGCTGATAATAAGTGATTTCTGTTTGAGTAGCCTGTTCAGTGTGCTTTACCAGATGGACATCTGCCCCAGCAGGGAGTGGTGTGCGCGTGGGGTTCGCATCCGCCATCCCAAAGCGTGCAACGATCTCTCCAATGTACCGTGATTGATCAATTTCCAGACGCTTGATAGATCTGTCGCGTGTGATCTGGACTCCAAGATATGAGTCGATCTCACCTAGATCTGTCATTTCATAGCGCTTAGATAAGATCCCCTTGATCCGGTTAACCTCCTTGAGAGTATCGCCTAAGATAGTGATGTCGTCGACATAGAGGATTATAATTGCTGTACCCTCCCTGTCTTGGCGACGACGCACGTATACCCCGGCATCAGAAAATGTGCGCGTGAAGCCGAGTTCCAATAGAACTCCATGGAATTGCAAGTTCCATGCGCGTGAGGCTTGTTTGAGTCCGTAAATTGCCTTTTTCAGTAGGCATACCTTATTCGTCTGGCCCGATGTGATGAAACCCTCCGGTTGCTCCATGTAAATTTCCTCATCCAGTAGTCCGTTCAGGAACGCCGACTTGACGTCCATTTGATGGATCTCCCAATCCTCTAGCGCGGCCAACGCCAGTAACAGTCTCAATGACTCGAACCGGGCTACTGGAGAAAATGTTTCATCATAATCAATACCTTGAATTTGCGTGAATCCCTTAGCAACTAAGCGTGCGCGAAAGCGTCCATCGGCCTTGCGCTTGAAAACCCACTTGGACTTCACAGCCTTCCGATCGGCCGGTAAGTCCACTAGCGTCCAAGTTCCATTCTTGGCTAGTGCGTCCATTTCATATTGGCACGCGTCCTGCCAGTCGCTAGCATAGTCTGACTTCATCGCCTCCCGATATGTGAGCGGATCACTATATGCAGCCGCCGCAAGCAAAGCACGATGCCCGAGTCGCCCATCCTCACCTAACTCGGCATTATCATCGCCAAAGTAATGTGGATTCCTGCGAGGATTCTCTCGCAGTCTCCGAGGGGGCACGTCCCCCAAAGTGGGGACAACGGTCCGCTGAGTCCGGAGAAACCGGTTGCGCGGCGCGCAGGGCGGGGGCTCTTGCATTGCGGGGCGTGAAGGCGGGGTAGCCCAGACTGTATTACCAGAACTTGGGGTTTGCTGTGTGGCAACAGGGGATGGCGTCCTTGGCGGATCGACCTCCCCTTGAGTTTGCGTAGGGACAGCCATAGGGAATGTAACGGCCAGTGGCCCCTCCAGGGCCTTAGGTTGATCAGAACGAATGGACGGCTCACCATTGTCCTGAAATGGGAAGGAGCGTTCGTCGAATGTCACGTCGCGCGACAGGACGACTGCTCGGGTACTCTTGTTCCATAGCCGGTAACCCTTAGAACCCGGCTCATACCCAACAAGCGTCATCTCGATTGATCTCGGATCGAGCTTTCTTCGCTTGTTCTCAGGCACATGAACATATGCCTTGCATCCGAAGACGCGGAAATAAGAGACGTCTGGAGTGTGACCAGCACTCCAGAGCTCGTGAGGCGTGCGCCAACCTATAGTTCGGGTGGGAGTCCTGTTGTAAGTATGAACGGCAGTGTCCACTGCCAACTCCCAGAAGCCAAGGGACAGGCCAGCGCTGTGTAGCATAGAGCGCGCCTTGTCCATGATGGTCCTGTTCCATCTCTCGGCTATGCCGTTTTGTTGCGGCGATCCCGGCATCGTCAACTTATGCTCGATCCCCCGTTCGTCCAGTACAGCTCTAAGCGCGCCTGACATGTACTCCCCCCCGCGATCTGAGTGCAAGGCCAGCATCTTTTCCGATGATTGAGTCTCAGCCCAAGCTAGAAATTTCCGAAATGCTGTTGCACACTGATCTTTGGATCTGAGGAAGTAGACCACACCATGTCTAGAGTAGTCGTCGATAAATGTTGCAATGTAGAGCGCGCCTTGAATAGACTGAATCTGCATCGGCCCGGCCAGATCGCTGTGAACAATCTGTAGCCGCCGGTCCGATCGCTTGTGAGAGGACTTAAAGGGGAGTCGCGTGTGTTTCCCGAGCTCGCACCCGGGGCATGGCGACTGATGTTGATCGATCAGAGCATCAAATGATATTCCCTTGATGGATTCATGATACCGCTTGAGGGCGTTGTATGACATATGCCCCATGCGGCGATGCCAGATGTCGATAGGTTGCGACGTTTGAGC